GCTCGTGGCCACCCTACTAAACGGTGAAGATATGGAACATTGTCTCCATTCTTGCAGAAAGTTCTGTTGGACAGCTGCTTAGAAAACTGGCTGTGAGTTTCCTTCCTCTTCTTCTTCCCCCTTTTCCCATTATAGTAATATTATGGTGGGTTTATTTATATTTTCATTGTAAATTGCCATGTAATTCTGTGGTCCTCAGACCATCATCTTCAAGCTTCCGTTTCCTGCACTTTCCCTCCATACTTGGAAAGAAAACAAGTAGGAGAATTCTCACAGCGTACTGCAATTTTACTAGAAATTTTAATTTCTAGAAGGTATCACGTGGTCTCCTTCCTGCATCCCACAGTGAGCTGACTTCTCATCCATCAGATTTCAGTTTAGACTGTCTCCAGGGAGTCTTCCCCACCCCTCCTCCCAGCCCCCAAGCCTGGATTACAGGTCCTTGTAGTTAAAATGGCCACAGTAACCTGGCTTCCGCCTGCTTATTGTAGTTGATTGTTTCCTGTCTCCTCTCTCCCATTGAACCAGCTTGCTGAGGCCAGGGACCAGCCTGTCCTGTTCCCCGGGGTATGTGCATCCTTAGGGACACTGCCTGAGGCTGTGGAAGGAAGGAACAGTGGCTACAGGAGGAGGGGACCGTAACCAAGTAACTTAACATTAGGATGGGGTTCCTTCCGCCAGCCCACCGCCCAGGCAAGGAGTCTGTTCCAGAGGGGGAATTATCAGAAACACCACCCTTTTGTCTGGCCACTTTTCCAAATACCCCTCAGTGCCCTGAGCTGTTTCTCCAGCAGTGATGTTGGCACATTCCAAACACTTGTGCTCTCTTCTGGTTAAAGTTCATGGTTTTCATCTCATCGGAAGTGATGTTGAAAGACACATACAAACTAATGAGATGATGCTGGGAAAGTGATTAAAGATGGGAAAGGGGAGCTGAAGCATGGTGATAATAGGATAGAAAGTTTTTGCTGTGTCTGTCTGCAGGCAGCTGTTCTGGGTATCACAGGCCAAATCTCACCAACCCAAATGACCTATGGGAAGGTGGCTGTATCCAGGAAAGGTAGGAAGCAGGGTAAGTAACAGAAGTCCGAGCTCAGTCTAGCTTTAAAGATAAATTTATCTTCCCGAGTATCAGGAAACATAGAGATTGGAGACTTAGAGTTGGTGGATTCGGTGTCTCAACAGTGCCAGGGAGGATCCAGCTCAGCCAGCCTGGATGTTGGCTTCATTCTTAGGCTGGTAGGGAAGTGGCTGCTGCAGGCAGGTGTAGACATCGTATCTGAGACCTCAGTGTCCAGTTAAAGAAGAGAGAGTGCCAGTTCTGGTCACTGGCGAGGGGAGGAGGTGGCCACGACTGAGTCAGCCGAAGCACCTGGAATCAGTGCAACAGATCTGAGTGTCTCCTACAAGCGCTCAGACCACCCAGCCCCAAACACGCCCCCCCCCACCCCCAGCCTATGAATTTAAAAAGTCCTTTCAGCCTGCACCAATGTGGAAAGTACTGAGTGAAAACCCTCTATTCCATTAGCTAATAGCAGTTTATACCTTAGAAATGATCTAAGGGGATAAACACAGAACACAGAAAACTCCCAGGATGAGAAGAGAGCCTCAGAGAAGAGCTCACCAAAGACTACTTGTAATGCTTCAAGTCTTACTGGAAGCAACGGGAACCTACTGTATAGCACAGGAAATTAGACTCAATATTTTATAATAGCCTATAAGGAAAAAGGATCTGAAAAGATAGGTGTGTGTGTGTGTGTGTGTGTGTGTGTGTGTGTGTGCGCACGCTTGTGTGCCCAGTCCTGTCCCACTCTTTGTGACCCCATGAACTGTAGCCTGCCAGGCGCCTCTGTCCATGAAATTTTCTAGGCAAGAATACTGGAACCGGTTGCCATCTCCTTCTCCAAGGGATCTTCCAGACCCAGGAACTGAACTGGTGTCTCCTGCATCTCGTGCATCGGCAGGCAGATTCTTTATCACTGTGGCACCTGAGAAGACCAGATATATACACATATACATATATATGTGTATGTGTATGTGCATATGTGAAATGAAAGTGTTAGTTGCTCAGTCGTGTCCAACTTTTTGTGACCCCATGGACTATAACCCGCCAGGGGATTCTTCAGGTAGGAACACTGGAGTGGGTATCCATTCCCTTCTCTAGGGGATCTTCCAGACCCAGGGATAGAACCTCGGTCTCCAGCGTTGCAGAGAGATTCCTTACTCTCGGAGCCACCAGGGAAGCTGTATAAATATATATATGTATAGCTGAATCATTTTGCTGGGAACCTGAAACTTAACACAACATTGTTACATCCACTATATTTCAATTAAAAAAAAGGGGGGGACTTCTCTGATGGTCCAGTGGCTGAGAGTCTGTGCTCCCAATGCAGGGACACAGGTTTGATCCTAGGTCAGGAAACTAGGAGAAGAGGATGACTGAGGACGAGATGGTTGAATGGCATCACCACTCAATGGACATGAGTTTGAGCATATCTGGGAGGTGGTGAAGGACAGTGAAGCCTGGTATGCTGCAGTCACAAAGTCACAGGGTTGCAAAGAGTGGGACACAATCGAGTGACTAACAACAGCAGGGAACTAGATGCTGAAGCCGCCACAGAGATAGAAGATCCCATGTGCTGCCAGATCTGGCAGAGACAAATCAATTTAAAAAAATAAATAAGTCTTACTAGTCTGCCTGAGCCCACCCATTAGGAAACTTCCTCCTTGTCCTAAAGGGTTAATCCCCCACTTTCCATCCACCCCTCCCACAAGGAAACACTGGTTTCATTTTAAATTTAGCAATGTCCATACATATATGATTTTCAGTGTACATGGTATATATTCTGAGAAATCTGGATTCCTTCAACCGATCAGTTATGCTTTCTTTTTTCCTCCTTCTCCGTAGACCTGGCAGTGTTAGAGCTGTGCTGAGTGAGGTCACAGTCTAACTACAGTATTAACCCTGCAAATCTGTTCATTTTTACCCCAGCACCCTGAGGCAGGGTATGGAATGTGTCCAATTGAAAAACTATTACAGACGCTGCAGTGCTGTGATGGGCTGAATTGTAATGGAGACTGGGTGTGTGTGTGTGTGTGTGTACTGGGGTGTGTGTGTGTGTGTGTGTGTCTTTAGACAAGAGATCTAAAAGGAAGTCGGGTAGTACGTAGCTCTTAAAGGTGGAGGTTACATGATTGTACTTTTAAAGGAAAAAATGCATTTTCTGACACCCAGATTTTAAAATGCTGTTGGATATTTCCCAGCCTTCACTGCTTTACATTTCCTACTGATGTGTATCCTTGTTTTTTTAGTTCTTTTCCCCATCCCGTACCTCTTTGACTTTTCTCTCTGTGTTGCAATCATCCCTTGTGCTTTTTAATGTCTATATTGAGTTGTTAAAAATACACCGGAACATACAAAGAATGACACAGTGACCATCTACAAACCCACTTCCCCCAGTTTAAGAAATAAAGCATGAACTCTTTCTATGACTGTTCCAGGGCTCTGTTTAATTCAGCACGGAGAAAAGCACCACACAGATGGTCAACATTTTGCGTAAAAGCTCAATCACCACCCCATTCACAGTAGATGTGGAGTTTCAGAAGGACGTGCATTCCCAGTCTTGCCTGGACATGTGGTTAATGCTATCTAGTCCAACAGTTGTGCCCCAGGTAAATCCTGAAGCTGTTTTGGATCATAAAATCTCGGATGTTTTGCAAATTTATATTTCATCATGCTGAGCTTTATGCACAAAAACTAGATGACTTCCCATTTGTAATCTCCATCAAAGGCATTTCTCAAAATCCCTTTATTATGCCTTATCACTGACTCTGCCGCACATTGTTTGCAAACAATCTCTGGCTAAATTGTACATCTACAAGCACCCTCGTGGCGATCGCCTGGCAGAATTCAGACATAAGTGCTGTTTGAGCTTTTTCCTAATTGTAGATTCTAAATATTTGACCCCCTACTTTGAGTGCCAGAGACCTGACTTGACTTGTCTGTGGTTTGGGCTCAAATTTGAAAGCGATCAACCATGTTTGGATGGTGTTTGAAATATATGTATTGTATCCATGGAAAGGATGGCAGATTTTATTTTCTCAAGAGTACAGTTTCTTCAGCACGTTCTCGTGCCATCATGTGACGTCCTCCTTCTGCTTCGTTTGTTTCCAGGGTACCTTTGCCTGTGGGGCAGCACACTGCACCCCATGTGCCTCAGCCCCACCTTGGAAAAGTATCTCTTCTGTGAGCTCAGCATGCATGAGAGCAGCTGGCTCGTGGCTCCCAAGCACAGACCTAATCACTGGGGGGGACACACTTTTCAAGGTGTCCCCAGTTCCATAGTCTTCTAGTGAGAGAAGCAGGAACCCAGTGGGTAGATGTGGGTTATTTTTTTGTTTGTTTCATCTGTTGACTGATGAAGTTCTGGTACCTGTTTACAAGTTGCCTTGAGTGTGTGAACTGATGGTTAGACCAGTCATGCCCCATGCCCCCTTTCTCCTGATTTGGAAAATAGAAATTAAAGAGACCATTCTGCAGAACCAAAGGGCCGACGGTCTGTATTTATCCCCAGCCCGTAGCAATAAGGTAGTTTTCCAAGAGAAGGCTAGAGCATATGTATTTTATCTGGATGGAGACCATTTCAAGTATTGATTATCTTTTCATTTGTAGTGAATAGTAGTTCTCCACAAGCCATTAACCAATTGTTAAATGTAAGAATTCATTAGTAAAATAAGCCATCACAGTGCGTGGTTCGATGTGAAATAAATATTAGTTCAGCTCCTTGATTCTGAGCATGGGAAGTTTTCCTTTTGTTTGTCACATATCTCGAGGTTTTTTTTATATGCATGACAGTAAAAGCTAGAGCTTGCTGATTTTCCAGATTTTATTAGCGAACGAATATCAGCGCTAGTCACTGGCTTATTCTGTAGGAGGTATGCATTTCCTTTCTCTCCACTAAATAAAGCAAACATGTCTAAACTTGCTTCTCTCTCTGTAGGACAGTCGGCCCAATATGTCAAGACCTCTGATCACTAGATCTCCTGCATCTCCACTGAACAATCAAGGCATTCCTACTCCAGCACAGCTCACAAAATCCAACGCACCCGTCCACATCGACGTGGGCGGCCACATGTACACCAGCAGCCTGGCCACCCTCACCAAGTACCCCGAGTCAAGGTAATCCGAAAGTGCATGTGTTTGATGAGCTAACCATTCTTCCTTTGACCAGCTTTGCAGCGTGGCCTCACCGTGGCCAGGAGTAGGACGTACCCACCCCCCCACCCCCCCGCCCCCAAACACTGCCCGGGGACACGAACGTAAATCTGTGAGTCAGGGTTTGATCCAGAGCTTAGCCGAGTGCGCATGAGAGTGTCACCGAGGATGGAGTTCTGCGATAGTTCAGTCCTCTGAGATCTCCACCTTTCTTAGCATAGTAAACAAAGGATGGTGATTGCTCCCCCTGACCTTTCTTCTGTTCTCTTCTGCTAAAACACACTTTCTTATCAAGTCTTAGAATTTTATAAGGGATCATTTGGCCCACCAACTTGTGAACTGGAAAAAAAATCGAGACTCTTATCAGTAGGGCAGTATATTTAGAACAGCTGGCAAAAGTCCAGAAAGATAATCTTGCTTGAAAAAAAAATGAAGGGCAGTGGAACTAAGAGCACAAGGCAGATAAGCAAATATAAAAAGGATGTGAAGGGGGGCGGCTGTCGTACAGACAGGCACTGTACACCACTCTGAGGACAGCTCCCCTCCTAAGTCCCCGTCCACCCATTTCTAAAGGAGTTCCAAGGAAACAATGTACTTTGCACCCCCGGACCCCAGTGCTCCCGCCTCCACCTCAGCCCATCTGGATCTGGGGGCTGTGGCAGAACCTCTTAGGGAGTTTATCTTAGGCAGTTAGGCTGTTGAGTAGAGAAAGAGGCATGAGCTCATGTGGGCTGATGTTGGGAAAAAGAGCTTCCCCTCCCTGTTTCTGCTCAGATGAAATGGAAACAGAGCACTTGGGCTTCAGAAGAGCACTCATTGCAGGTTTTGAGCACCTCCTACAGTGTGACAGGGATCAGGCAACTTACAGCCTAAGGAGAGAGCACTGATGAAATCACCGTCATAACTGCACGAAGACGGCTCTTTTGTTTTTTGTTCATCTCACTTCACTGTCTGATATTTTATGAAGGAATGTGCGTGTGTGCCAAGTCGCTTCAGTCGTGTCTGCCTCTTTGTGACCTTATGAACTGCAGCCCACCAGGCTCCTCTGTCCATGGGATTCTCCAGGCAAGAATCCTGGAGTGGGTTGCCATGCCCTCCTCCAGGGGATCTTTCCGACCCAGGGATCGAACCTGTGTATCCTGTGTCTCCTGCATTGTAGGTGGATTACCACTGAGTCACCAGAGAAGCCCCAGTAGGATAATATATTGAGTCAAAAGTTAATAATTGAGTTGAATAAAATATATCAAAATTGATTTCACCTGTTCCTTTTTACTCTTAATGTGGCTACCAGAAAATACAAAATTACACATGTGTCTCGCTCTTTATTACTGTTGGACAGCACTGAACTATATATTCAGAGATTCAAAAAGCATGTACATAATTAAACCTCTCCCTCCCCAAACCTCCTGATACTTAACATCTATCATAAATTGAATATCTCTTTCTCCAACTTAATTAGAGAAGATACAGTGATCATCTTTTTTTCTCATTCTTTCTCTGTTCTTCCTTGTCCCATACAGTGAGCCACAGTATCCTGGGAGCAACATCAAAAACAATTTGTGGTTCATTATTCCCAGGTTCGAAAGTTGACGCTCCCATTTAATAGTTATTTGGCCATGGGTAGGTTCAATTTCTAAACGCCTATCTTCTGTCTTGTGAAATAGACACAAATATATATTCTTCCAAGGTTATTGGGAGGATTATATGTGATTACAGAAAGCATGCGATGGCCCTGTGCCCAACACATAGTATTGCCTTTATACTTAATCCTCTGCCAAACCCAGCAATTGTTTCTTTTCAAACTGCCTTCCAAATTCCAAATATATCCCATTCCTTCATTTCCTAGACCACAGTAACAGCCTCACTTCTGGATTCTTGCCTGGATTCCTACAGGCTCAAAGGCATCCTTGCCTGCATCTTCTGGTCCTTCATCTTTAATGTCCCCACCTGTTGCAGAACTGCTGAGCCATTCCAAGGAGATATTTTTAACCATATGTCCAGACTTTTGGAAACAAGCCTTACAAGTAACTTCTGTTTCTGTTGCATACACCTAAACCAGATGACACTGGTTAGAAGACAATGGTGTGGATGTTGAATTGGTCACTGTGTATTGCTTTCCTTCCTCTTGGATTTGGGGCAGAGGGGCTTGGAAAGCAATTAAATGGTCATTTCAAAGCAGCAGTCAGTTTAATGGGACTGATCCCAGGAGGTGCTAGTGGTAAAGAATCCGCCTGACAATGCAAGAGATGTAAAAGACTCTGGTTCAGTCCCTGGGTTGGGAAGATCCCCTAGAGGAGGAAATGGCAACCCACTCCAGTATTCCTACCTGGGAAATCCCATGGACAGAGGAGCCTGGAGAGTTACAGTCCATGGGGTTGGAAAGAGTCATACATGACTGAACTTCTGAACACAAGACCACAACTTCAGTAGCCAAAGATATAGGGAAGAAATAGTTCTTCATGCTTTTTTCCATAGATGTCAGATGCTCCTTCCAAATTCTAGGAAAATCTCATCTGTATCGTCAATGTTTGGGGGATACATTTTAGGATATTAGGTTGGCCGTGGCCATGGAATGACAATAATTCCAAGCCAAGTTCTCTAGATTCTAGGGTGTCTTGACCCCTTCTCAGCCTTTGGGACCATTCCCAGCCCCTGGTTCCTCTCTTATCCATTTTTTCCTTGGTGTAGCCCAGAGGGGAAGGGGTTTTTCCTTGGTTTTCTTTTCAAGGATTTCAGGAGGAGACCTGTAGTGTAAAAAGCTGTTTGTGTTACAGAGTGTTAGAAAGCTGTTTGTAACAAGTGATCTTAAAAGATATGATGGCTTTCTATAAATTCAAAGGTCCTGCAAGAGTCTTTACTTCATTTTGAAATATTGTAGGTGATTTATTATTCTATTTCTATTTACTGTCTTATGGACTAAAGATTACCTTTAGAACCATGGTCCCCAACCTTTTTGGCACCAAGGACAGGTATCATGGAAAATAATTTTAACACAGACCGAGGTGGGGAGGTTTTGGGGTGATTCAAGCACATTACATTTATTCTGCACTTTATTTCTATTGTTATTACATCTGCTCCACCTCAGATCATCGGGCATTAGATCCCAGAGGTTGAGGACCCGTTCTTTAGAACATTGTCCCCAGAAAGTGGTAAATTGGACACAGGTAAACATTAGAAGCACCTGGAAAACATTAAAAGACCGTCCAAGACCCCAGACCAGTGAAACAAGAATCTCTGCAATTTTCCTAACAGATCCTGATTTTTCACCATATGGCTCTATATGGTCCTTCCAAATATAGGTCTCTTACTCAATGAATATTTTGATACTTGGTGCTATATCATAATGGCCATTCCACCATTGAAAATACACCTTCATCTTCATTTCTTTAATTAGCAAGGTTCCCTGGTTCCGCTGTATGCACTGATGTGCCCTTTTTTTTTTTTTTTTGGCTTACAAACCCTAAGTAAGGATTCAGTAATAGAGTTGACTTTTACATTTTACAACAAGGTTAATTATTCACATTGTCATTCACTTTTATTATTGGGTGGTTTTTAGCTAACAGGACTGGACATAAGGGTTCAAATTAACTGTAGTGCTGCATATATCTGTGATGTGGTCTGTCTTTACCAGTGTTTCATGTAAGATGCAAAACAGGTCTTTGGAGGTGTTTATGAGACAGAGGCTGATCCATACCACCTCAGTGACGAACACTGTTCCCTTTCAGGGACACCTTGCGTGTGTCATTTCAGTTGTGTCTGACTCTTTGGGACTCTATGGACTGTAGCCCACCAGGCTCCTCTGTCCATGGGATTCTCCAGGCAAGAATACTGGTGTGGGTTGCCTATGCCTTCCTCCAGGGACCTTCCCACCCCAGGTATTGAACCTGAATCTCCTGTGATTCCTGCACTGCAGGTGGATTCTTTATTGTCTGAGCCACCTAAAGCCTCGTGGGAGCCTCCAAGTCTCCAATTCTGTGCTGCTTTTTGGAATTGGAATCGCCAGGAAAACCACCCAGTTCGGATCTGTAAGAATTTTACATCAAATAAGTGAAACCAAAAATTTAGAGTCAAGAAAAAATATTATCAGCATGAAAATATTTTAAATAGATATACAAAGGAGATAGAACACATTTAACAGTTTGTTAGCTTGATTTCTAAGTTGTAAATACTCTTTGGGACCCTATGGACTGTAGCCCACCAGGCTCCTCTGTCCATGGGATTCTCCAGGCAAGAATACTGGCATGGGTTGCCTATGCCTTCCTCGGGACCTTCCCACCCCAGGTATTGAACCTGAATCCCCTGCGATTCCTGCACTGCAGGTGGATTCTTTATTGTCTGAGTCTTTGGGACCCTATGGACTGTAGCCCACCAGGCTCCTCTGTCCATGGGATTCTCCAGGCAAGAATACTGGCATGGGTTGCCTATGCCTTCCTCCAGGGACCTTCCCACCCCAGGTATTGAACCTGAATCCCCTGCGATTCCTGCACTGCAGGTGGATTCTTTATTGTCTGAGCCACCTAAAGCCTCGTGGGAGCCTCCAAGTCTCCAAACCTGTGCTGCTTTTTGGAATTGGAATCGCCAGGAAAACCACCCAGTTCGGATCTGTAAGAATTTTACATCAAATAAGTGAAACCAAAACTTTAGAGTCAAAAAAAAATATTATCAGCATGAAAATATTTTAAATAGATATACAAAGGAGATAGAACACATTTAACAGTTTGTTAGCTTGATTTCTAAGTTGTAAATATCTAGACATATGGGAGGTGGACCTCACTTATACTCTTGCCTTGTGCCCTGCACAGTTTAAGAACAGACCTGATTATATCTAACTCAAAAATCCAAGGTCCCCACTAACATCACTGGTAACAAAAATCTAGGTATCTGATTTGTCCTAAGTAAGTAATATTGGTAACAAATTACATGTCCTTTTTAAAACCTCCTAATGTTGACACTGAAACATCTGC